CCCCCCCCCCCCCCCCCCCCCCCCCCCCCCCCCCCCCCCCCCCCCCCCCCCCCCCCCCCCCCCCCCCCCCCCCCCCCCCCCCCCCCCCCCCCCCCCCCCCCCCCCTTAAGAAACGAATATTTTGGCAAGAAATTGCGTTTCTCAAATATACAATTATAAATAATATGGAGTCTCTCATTTCTCAAAAGAGGCCCATTATCTCGCATTTCAATATTCCAAATAAAAATAAAATTGAATGTGAGATAGAAGCAATCGAGATTACCTAAAGCAGTAATTCGTACTTTAACTGGTTTAAAAAGGCTCCGCTACTTGACTTGGCTTAACCTTACGCGTATCCCTCCCCTCTTTTTGGGCTTTCCGTAGAAATGCTGTGAAATAAAAACTAAAAGCTTCTAGGACTTCGCATTTTCAGAATTGATCGGAAACTCAATGGAGCACTTTTTCGTTCTTGTTTCAAGTTTTCAAGTGTTGCCGTTCACTAGTTTTTCAGAAAACTCGGTTTTTCATTGTGCCACATTACGACCCCCCTTAAACTGCACCTGATCCGATCAATTCTGAAAATGCGAAGCCCAAAACCCCTTAAAGATAAAAGGGTTCCATAAAAGTCTTATTAATACTTCAGAGCATTCTGGGCAAAACTTTCCACTTAACCAATTAAAGAACACATCGAGAAACTCTTATAAACCAAAGGACAACTTGGTCTAAACTATCTTTATTTAAATATAATTTAGTTTTCATTCAATTATTAATTATTGGTTCTTTGCTTGCTTAGATAAGTACTTCTATAAATTGGTCGAAAGGAGATCAGCGTTAATCAAACGCAGATCCTTTTACGAACTTTCTACTACGGAAACAAATGTGATAAATAACTTGGTTTTTTAAGTTCTTTTACGAACTTTCGCACTAGCGATGCTTTTTCATGTGGGGTTTCCGTCATTATTTAGGGTGATGCCGAGACTACCGATAACCCCAGTCACATGGATGTGTTTTACTCAATAAAAACCTGAGAGGGACATTTCTAGAATAGCAAAACATATTTCAAAAATAGTTCTAAACTCTAAAACCGATGAGTCATTACTGTCCACGTGACATATGTGACTGGGTCATCGGTAGTCTGAGCATCAACTTAAGGGCCCCCCTCTCAGAAATAGCGATTTTCGACCCAAAAATCGGTTTTGAGATACACACATGGAAAGATAGCCTGAAGTGTCTACTTCCAGAATCTGTATTGCTTTTGGTTACAAAACTGGTTTTTCGGGGATTTTGAGCATGTTTTCCAAGAGCCTCGAAAAAATGGATCTTTAAATAGTGTTTGTTTTCTGGATACTCATGCAATTAAAATTCTTTTGAAAACACAGCTTTGTAGAGCATATGTTTCTGATCAAAATAAGACCTCGCACAAGTCTCTATGACCTTTCATCAAAAAGTTACAGGCATTTTCCTAGCAGTCCTTAAATCGAGTATTTCATACAGCGTTTAATAAAGCGTTTTCACTGTAGGAGACCTACACCTGAACGGCGTCCCAAGATTTTCAACGCTGATCTCCTTTGGATCAATTTATAGAAGTACTTATGTAAGCAAGCAAAGAACCAATAATTAATAATTGAATGAAAAGTCAGTCTCTAAGTCTGAAAATTTTCTCATACAGGAAGCTCGACATGATCTACAAGAGCTAATAAGAACATCTTCATTTTAGATTTTGCGAAGGGACTTCATAGATCGGTTTTCCGAAGAGCCACTAGAAAAGTACATGTGGATTCAAATGAATATCAGATTTGTGATCAACATCGCAAATTACGTATAAACATGTGTGTTTCAAGGGAACAGCGAGGAGGCAGTTAGGGATTCCCTCTAACTTGTCCTTTTTTTCCATATGAACGGTTCCGGTTGCAAGCATTATGCAGCTTTTTGTAGCAAATAAACAACAACAACAACAGCAGAAGAAGAAAACCATCAGATTTTGATTTTTTAGAGTAGGAGAACTAGTTCTCACATCAAATTTAATTTGAAACGATAAAAGAAAACGGTATTGAGAAAAAAGTTAGTCGGTCCTTGAATAGGATAATCAAAGTTCTTTAATGATCATGTTTATGATCGTTTGCTTTGCAATCCGCTTTACAGGCATGTTCAGCTTCTTTTTGTTTATGCTTTTCAGCTTCAAATGCAGCATCCATACGTTCCGACGGTTTAACATTTGGATCATTGGCTTTTGCAGTTTTTGCCTCAGCCTTTTGACCATGAAAAGCTTCTTTGACTTTCTCAATACCCGCTTGCGCAGCGTCCATTTCTTACGTTAGAAAATTGATTTACTAAAATGACAAACAGAGATTATAACTAAGAGTTACTTATACCAAGAAAAGGAAGAAAAACAGGTTCTCGACAAAGAAACCTTTAAGTAACGCCGCATCGCACTTTTCTGTCAATCATAGAGAGCGGTTACGGTTCTCTCGCTTGGAAAGTTGCTGAAGCCGAATACAGCTCTGAAATGGATGATTTGAGGTACTAATAAGTTTTGTTTTGAGCTATCTTCTTCTAATTCTGACCTTCACAGAGTAAACAGGCGGAGCAGTCGCTCAAACGTTTGAGGAACGAAGACCAGGATGCTGAAATTCTTTCAAAATTTATCAGAACTGACAACTGTGACTAAGCTTTTGCAAATTATTTCGAACACAAGAAAACCGCTGGTTGTTTTTGCTCGGCTAATGTTGTTAGTGTTAAAAAATTGCATCAGAAATAGAAGGTTGTACTGCAGCATCGGACATGTCCTTCTTTTTCGAAAATATTAAAAAGTGGATTTTCGGGTGAGAAAAACTCTCCGGTATTCTGGTTGCAAACGTGTGATTAAAAATCCCTTAAATTAATGCCAGAGTAGCTTTTGCTAATCTCCATTTCGTTTTTCAAAATATGTTCCGATTATACTGCAAACACTGAGCTTCTGCACATAAGGGGCACATACCAGGCGTTTTTGTGCAACAGGCTTACTGATTATTATTAATAGAAGTTTGTATTGTCTAAGTGTTGTTTGTGCTCGTAAAATAAAAGTGAAATGAATGAGGAAGAAGTTAGTAACACTGGCAGAATACAGTTCATAGCGTGCATGTGAAGAATAAAAGAAAGAAAAATGTGGTCTTCTTTCTTTTTTTAATTCTTCAGGCTTAACTTACGTTGTTCTGCGCAGTTGAAGAAAAAAATGATATGATATATTGAAGTGTTTCTATAGCATCATTTTATGAGTTTGCTGATAACAACTAACTAATGATTCTTTTCTCGCTCTTTCGCTTTTTTCTTCTCATGAATTCTAATAAAATTGTGAATCACACACAAAAAAGTTATTCATTCTTCTTTCTCGTCTTCTGTTGCAACTTTCGAGCAACTGTCAAATTTTTTTGTTAACAACGCATTTTATATTGTTCTCTGTTCTATAATTATAAACAAACATATGTCAGTAAATGATGTGAAGAAAAAATGATAAAAGAAAGACTGCTAGATTCTTTTGGTCTTGAAAAAAGATCGTTTGAACGGAACTAAAATAAAATAGAGCTGAGGAAACCGGAAGTTGAATGATTTATTACATGAGACGTATTTTTTTTTGGTACATGAGAGAAAATGCGTTAGATTCTTTCCCTTCTGCCTAATATTAATGTCCCAGTAAAAATCTTGATGATAGTGCTGAAACTTCATTAAGTATCTGCTCGACAAGTTAATGAAGTTCTGAATATCATTATCAACATTTACCGAGCGCCATGCTACACTCTCAAATCTTGCCTTGATCGTTTTTTGCACTGTGTCCCACTTTACCTGCATCATCCTCTTGTGTCTAGGTGGTCTGATGTTGTCCTATAAGATCAGTAACTGTGTTTTGTATACTGTCTTGTGCTGTTCGAACTTGTTTTTCGATAAAAGAGTTTGTAAGAGTTCTAGTCTAAATGAGATCCGTATTAATCCTTTCAAAACAGCTGAAATCATTACCGATAACAGTCAGAGACACTAATAACAATAATCTGACAGTAATGCAAAGGACCCCAACAAGTAATAACCATGTAGCGGAAGAGTCTCAAAATGACGCATCTAAGACCAAACTGGGAATACGACAGCTGATCGGCAGCTTTAGAGAGAGTCACGACGGAAGATGTCGTACAAAGAACGGGTGCGGATGAAGGGAAATGATTTCCGATTTTTTCTTTCCAGATTTAGAAAATATGAATTTCTTAATGACAAAGCAATTGGGAAAAAAAGCAATTCGTACTTATAAAGATCGTTTAATGGGAGTTCTAATGAAATAAAAGATATTGGCTTCATATCTTCACAAAACAAATGAGATAGATTTGCAAAACTGTTTATGAACACTCACAAGAGGAGCCAAAGACGTCTACACCAAAACAGCAAATCCGCATAGTAAAATTGTACTGCTGGTGTGTACAACGAGTCTATAATTTCTATATCGATAACGATACATTTTTTTTTCTCACGGAAAAAGCTGTCTTGTTTCGATTATTTTTCCTTTGGAAAAAGTTTTCTTCGTACTGTTGCGAGTCCATTGATGCGGTGAGCATTACAGAATAGTTCGAAATGTGGCTTTTTCTATCGGATACGTCGAGCAACAAGAAATTCCGTGCCATATCATTTAGAAATTTCACATAGACACCGTTTCCTATCCTAGACATGATTTTAGAACTTAGAAAAGAACATGTATAAAGATTTAATTATGAGGTCGTCTGAAAAATCATCTCAAAACTCATCACAGGCTCAATGGGGTTCCCATGTTCGGTTCTAGAATCATGTTCAGTATATGAAACTGTGTACATGTGATACTTTTAAACGAAACAGTTTGAATAAAATATGAATTATTTTTGGCTTTTGGTGGAAAACATCAAAAATGGATATGTGTCCATCAAACGAAGTTTTGTCATAGAAAATCAAGAGCTCACTTGGCACCCGTTCTGAAGAGGATGCTATGCGCTATCTATTCAGTCTTTTTGCTTTTCCGCTTATATAATAGAAGTTTATGACGAGAAGCAGGACTTATAGAACCTACTAGGCATGCAGCGATAATGATTATCGTCATACTGATCATTGCTTCTTACCGATTATCGGTCAAATTTTATAAAAGAACTACCGTAACACTCACAAGATTTCGGTTTATTCA